CGCGCTCGGTCGCCCTGGGTCTTCGCCACGTTCTCCGAGGGGACCGACCTTCAGATGCGGACGTGGAGGTTCAGAGGACCCCGTGGATTTTCCAGGCCCCTGACTCAGGGCTCCTGATAGTTACTGAAGAGAGGGTTACATGCACCCGTGGCCTGTTACCACACTAAGCACCTTGCACAAGCAGACAATACCTTTTTAAATGTTGTGTTTTATGTTAGTAGAGAGCCTTTAGATAGTGCAATCTCAAGGGGTGACTTCCCCAAGAGCCAGTCCTCTCTAGGTGTGTTCTCTGCAGCAAGTGCTCTCGATTGACCCGTAACAAAGTTGCTAGAACCACAGGAACAAGGTGAGCAACGTTGGAGAGAATAAAGTGGAGGGGTTGATGTTTGTTGTTATCCTGTCCGCATACAGTTTAAACAAAAAAGCAGTTTTGCAGCCAGTGTTTCCCTGTCTTCTGCTCATATTTCCCTTCCTCCCAGAGTTGTGGGATACAACGAAAAGCTCTGATACTTTATCCAGCAAACCAGCTTCTCTCAGTTAACCTTTATGGAAAGGAAATGATCCGCTAATAAAGAGGAAAAGCTGAGTTCGAGTATCAAACTTGTTTTTGACCAACTACCTACTTCTTTCAACGCCTTCATTTGGTGTGTGTCCTAAGGAAGCCAGGTTCTGAGCCACTGCTGCCACCCACAGCTGTGGGCCTTTTCTGGGGTCCAGCATAAATAGAGCCCTCTCCCTCCCCAGCGCACCTTGGCATGCCTGCCCACCTGAGCCCGAGTCCTGTAAAAACAGTCCCTCCTGGGCTGGATTCAAGGCTTCCTTGAACTTCAATCTATTAACTAAAGGACAGCCTACGGCATTTCTCTGGCCCTTTGCAGCTCAGACTTTCAATGAGTCTAGTGAAACACCAAAGAAGACAAGCTATGTTTAAGCAGCAGATCCAGAATCCAGCTGTTTCCCTAACAGTGATTCTCAGTCTGAAAAAACCCATTCGGGATCTCTGAGGCCCTCAAGAAATTCCCATTCTTCTCTCAGTCCAGGTAGTATTCCCCTCTCCTCTTTATCCCCATATTCAAGTATCTTCTCTCTAAACCAGACGCAACCTCTCTCTGGCCCCTGTTCTGATAACCAGCTGTTTTCCTGACCTAAAAACCTTTAGTCTATTAACCTGTTTTCTTACCTGCCCAGACTTCTGCACATTGCTGGATTATTTCTAATAATCCTGAGTCAGGAGGTCACTTCCGGAAGTTACCAAAAGGCATTTCAGTTTACTCATTAACAAGTAATTGCTGTTGTCATTTAACGAGGTGCATCTAACAGTGTCTTTCAACACAACCTTCACAAGCCGGACCTTCCTAAAGGAAAGCTAATGTTTTATTCACCAGCAAACATGGGCCACCTACTATGCGACTAGGGGCAAGGAACACAGTCCTAGCGATAGCATTTCGGAAGCTCGGTTTACTGGACGAAACACATGAACAGCTGACTGATACAGTGGTGGAGATGTGTACAGAGGGCTGGAACATAGACGGCAGGATGATTCTGCCTGGGAGCAGAGGTATGGGGAGATCGGAGAAGAACCATAGAGGACCTGATCTAGGACATAAAGGCAGAGTTCAAGTTTGTTGGGCAAAGAGGTGGGGAAGGGCACTGTAAACAAGAGGGAATGGCTTATACAAAAGCATCTTCCATCCCTGCATCTTCACTCTTAAAAATTAGAATTTTGTGCTAAGGTTGTGGGCCAGCCCTTACATCAAACTTCAGGTGTATCTTCATATCCTTTCATCATGTATCAGATTTATCAAAAATATGATCTTTTTTTTTTTAATCCTCACCAGAGGATATTTTTTTTTCTTTTAAGTTTTAGAGAGAGTGGGAGGGAGAGATGGAGAAACATTGTGTGAGAGAGGCACATGGATTGATTCCCTCCCACACACACAGTCTCATAGCTCCTAGATTAAGAGTTCCTAATCTAAAGGAAATGATCAAGCAAATAACATTGGGAATGTTCCATATGTTTGTTTAGGAGCCAGCGCAACAGTAGCCGCCTTTGAAGACAGTGGGTATGCTGGAAAGGGGACAGCTCTGACCCACCCAGACCCACACTCTACCCCAGCCCTATCACATTAACAGCTGGACTAGGGCAAGTTAATTAAATTCTCCAAGCCTCACTGTAAAAATGGAGATAATGCCTCTCCCCCAAAGTTTAAAATAAATCATGGATTTATTGAAATTCTTCCTTTAACTGAAATCATGGGTTTCAATTAGACCATGGACGTAGACTTTGCAGGCACTCCATACATGATAGCTGTTATTAGGACCAGTAAAATGTGTGTGCTAGTCTTTGCGGAAACCTACTAGTGCTATGACTAGGGGAATCTGCTTGGGATGTCGTGCAGACCGTCCCTGGTGGGAGTGGGTGGCTGTCACAAATACCTCGTGAGAGCATATTGCTCTACCTGAGCTGGTGCCTCGGCGGCCAGTGGCTAGATTACATTAGCCTTTAAGGTCTTTTCTAGATCTAGAACCTAGCCTTTTTTTTTTTCGCTTTTCACCTGAACATCAAGTTTTCCAAACAATTGGATGTACACAATTGTGATTAATTAGCATACTTATTCTTTTATGTCTGGAAGCCTTTAGGATCATCCTCTAACTTACAACCTAAACTTAATACTACCAATATGCAAGTCTTACTATAGCATTATCACTGGTAGGGTTTATTACTTGGGTTTTTTAAATTGAAAATTTTATTGAGATAATTGTAGATTCACATGCAGTTGTAAAAAATAGCCCTAGCTGGTTTGGCTCAGTGGATAGAGTGTCAGCCTGCGGACTGAAGGGTCCTGGGTTCGATTCCAGTCAAGGGTATGTACCTTGGTTGCAGGATCAATGTGGGGAGCAACCGGTCAATGTGTCTCTCTTACATCGATGTTTCTCACTCTCTCTCTCTCTCTCTCTCTCTCTCTCTGTCTCCCTCCTCCCTCTATTCCTTCTACTCTCTCTCTGAAAAGCAATGGAAAAAATATCCTTGGGTGAGGATTAACAAATAAATAAATAAAAAATACAAATGAAATAAAATTAAAAAAATAATACCGAGATATCCCTTGCCCAGTTTCTCCCAATGATAACAATTTGCAAAACTGTAGTATAATATAACAACCAAAATACTGACACTGATGCAATCCAATGAGATTCAGATTGCCCCAGTTTTACTGTACTGCTGTGTGTGTGTTTATTAAGTTCTACAGTTTTACCACCTGTGTAGGTTCAAGTATCCACCACCACACTAAAAATACTGAACAGTCCCAACACCACATGCATCCCTCATGTTTAGAACCGTACCTTTTGCCTCACGCCCAAGACCTGGCAACCACTAATCTGTCCTCCACTTCTAAAACATTGTCAGTTCAAAAATGTTTCATATATAGATATGGAATCATACAGGATGTGAATCTTTTGGGAAATGGCATAATTCCCTAGAAAGTCATGCAAGT